GAAGGGCCTAGGCCCGAAACGTCGGCTTTCCTGCTCCTCTGATGCTGCTTGGCCTGCTGTGTTCATCCAGCTCTGCACCTTGTTATCTCTACTTACAAATGAGTGTCAGGTGACACTTGTAAAAGTAACACTTTGCATAACCTTTTGCTTCAAAATATCTTTTTCCTAATTCAATATGCAAAACAAAACCTTTACATTAACCAACATTAAATACAAAAATATTCAAGGTATTACATTTTTCCTCAGTGATTAAAGAACCATTGAACTTCAACTGTGATCAGGCATTTAAAACAGACCTTAAACTATGGGGTGTATGCTTCAAAGATTAGTGCATTACTAATACTGTCAATGTCATACAGTCTGGCTTAGAAAAATACTTCACATTCAAACTCTAAGAAAATCAAACATAAACCCATGCTGTAAATATGCAAAGAGAAAATGACAGTCATATTTTTTACTTCTTGTAATTATGAGTCAATTTTTCATTACATATTCATATCAAATTGGTTATTGCTCCAAATAAACTGGCTATAAAATGCCATACAATACAGTTTTATCAGTGCAGTTTCCTGTTCTCAAGAACAAGGCAAAATTTATTAATTTTGCTTACAACTTCGGATTTATCCCGCCAGTGTCCATTTTCAGCACGTTCTTTTCCCACCTGGTGATTCACTGGAACACTGCAGAAAACATAGGACAGACAAGAGGGCATGCGAGCAGAACACTGTTAAAATGGTCAGCTGCGGGAAGGTCAGGGTCATGCTTGTGCACAGACCGGTGGTGTTCTGCAAAGCGGTCACCAAGTCTGCTTGGTTTCTCCAATGTAGAGTAGGCCACATTGTGTGCAGCGAATACAACACAACATTGCAGGTGGTACAGGTGAAATGCTGCTTCACTTGGAGACTGTTTAGGCCCTTGAATGGTGAGCAAGGAGTTGGTGAAGGTGGTGTTGCAACTTCTGCAGTTACATGGGAAGGTGCCGTGGTGTTAGGGACAGGCTGTTTGCTAAGTTCACCAACTGCATGGCATCAAAAATTGTGTCCGTTAAGGGCTCCAAGTCAATTCTCAGTTCCTCAGTCTGAGTTACATATATTCAGACAGACCTTCCACAACAGCTCTCTTGATAGATCTTCCCATCCTCAACTGAGGAATGTAGCCCTCCCCCATGATAACCAAGGACTCCTATTCCAAATATCCATTCTAGGTGAAGCAAGTTACTTGTACTACTTATAATACAGTCTAAAGTATTTGCACACAATGCATTCTCCTCTACACTGGGGAAACCAAATACAAATTGGGAGACCATTTAGCAGAACATTTCAACTTGCAAGCATGAATTTAAGCTTCTGGTTGCTTGCCATGTTAATGCAGCACCTGTGTCACACTCACATTTCTGTCCTCTGCCTGCTGCAATTTTCCAGTGATACTCATTGTGAGCTCAAGGAACAGCCCCTTAACCATCAAATTTGGCACTTCACAGCCTTCTGGGCTGGAAACTGAACAGTTAACAGTTACAGACCATGAAATTTATCCTCCACTTTTGATTTTAGTGCCATGTACTGCACATTTGCAAAGTTGTTCATTAGCCTGGCATTTACAATCACTTTAGACAAATGCCTACTCTTTTCTACAATTATCACCCCTTTGCCATTTGTTACATGACATTTTTGCCATTTGTTTCCTCACATTCTCTTCCCAATCCTAGCATCATAAAAATCACATTTGTTATTGGTATTTTCTACATTTTATTCTGATTTCTAAAAGCAAAATATTTGGCATATTGTTTAATAAAATATTTGAAATATTTAATACTTTTCACAGTCACATGCCAAAGCACATTACGATCAATTAGGTGTTTCTGGAATGTAGTCACCGTTATATGGAAAAAAACAGTAGCAAATTTCTGCACATCATGTTCCCACACTAGCAGGGTGATAACCAAATAATCTGTTTCTGTTGAAGGATAAGGGGGTACACCCCCCAACTGCTCTTCAAAACAAATCCTTTACAGCCACCTGACAGGGCACAGAGGACCTCTGTTTAACGCCTTATCTGACAAAAGCATCTCCTACAAAAGTACTCACTCAGTGTTGCATGAAATTTAGTAGCAAGGCATTTGTACACAAATCCTAGAAGTATCTTGAACACAAAATTTTCAGACTCCAGTTGGAATCTTATGAACTAAGTCAAAGCCAGCATGCATTTATTAAATTTGCCAAGACATATTTTCACGTAGGGTGAAATTGGGCATTTTTGCTGAAGCCAAGAGTGAAATAGAAAATCAGAGAGAACATGTAGTTGGTTCTATTCTTGAAACGTGCACTTTTAGGGAATGATTTATCTACTTCCTATACATCCTTGATCATTAAATCTAAAAAGCTTCACAGTTCAATCGGTGCTTAGGTCAGGGACAGTGACACTAATTTGCTAGGGAGGGCTCTTGCAGCACAGTGATAGTATTCCTACCTCTGGGTCAGATGGTCCAGGTTCAAGTCCCACCTACCCAAGGAGATTTGTCATAACATTCTGACCAGATCAATTAGAAATAACTTACACTGGAAATAACAAATGCCAGTGATCACAGCAGGTCAGGCAGCATCCATGGAGAGAAAGCAAGTTGACATTGAGTTGAGATGACTCGGAGTTGAAGTGAAGCGCAGGGGGGCTGCATTTATGCTATAGTTGGGGGACAGGTGGATGGAGTGTCAAGTGCTGGGAGGGAAAGGATGTTGATAGTTTCGATTTAGTGATTGGATTGGGAGAATGGCAGAACAATGGTGTGTCTAACTGCCAGACTAGAAAGAACGGAGTCCCACTGGGGTGGGGGGGGGAATGGGAGGACATGGTTACACAGAGAATATAACAAGTAAAACTAAAAGAAAGGGAAGGAATGGGAATGGAGTTCAATACCCTCAAATTGTGAACCAAAATTAAGTCCAGAAGCCTGTAAAGTGCCTAGCCTGAAGATGAGACAACAGTGTGAAGCTGGAGGAACACAGCAGGCAAGGCAGCAGAGGTTGCAGAAAAGTTGACATCTCAGGTCAGGACCCTATCTCCTAGCCTGAAGGTGAGATGTTGTTCCCCCAGGTTGCTTTGATTCACTGGAACATTGCAGCAAACAGAGGACAGACAAGTGGGCATGCGAGCTGGGTGCTGTGTTAAAATGATCGGCTATGGGAAGGTCAGGGTCATGCTCGCGCACAGACCGGTGATGTTCTGCAAAGCAGTCACCAAGTCAGAGTTTGGTTTCTCCAACGTAGAGTAGGCCACATTGGGTGCAGCGAATACAACACACAATATTGCAGGTGGTACAGGTGAAATGCTGCTTCACTTGAAAAGACTGTTTAGGCCCTTGAGTGGTGAGCAGGAAGTAGGTGAAGGTGGTGTTGCACCTTCTGCAGTTGCATGGGGAGACTGGGGTGTCCCAGAGGGAATGATCCCTGCGAAATGCAGACAGGGGGAAGTGAGGGGATGATGTGTTTGGTGCTGGCATTCTGCTGGAGTTGTCTGAAATGGCGGAGAATGACCCTTTGTATGCAAAGGCTGGCAGGATGAAAAGTAAGGACAAGGGGGACATGATCACGCTGTTGAGTGATGGGAAGGGGCCAGGGTGGAAGCACAGGTGATAGGTTAGATGCAGTTGAGGGCCCTATCAATCAGTGGGTGGGAAACCATGGTTACGGACAAAGCAAGCCATGTCAGCAGTACTGTTTTAAAAGAAATAACTTAATTAGCCTGACTAATGAATGGCTAATCAAGGGCTCCTGAAAAAGGATAGTCAGTAACTGACTCCAATGAAAGCACATGTCGACAGGGGCTATGAATAGACTCAGGGTCGACTGTGATGTCCCCTGCAATCAAATAACCCATTTGCAGTCACAAGCAAAGCTTGCAGGGATTGAGATTTGGGCAAGCTATAAATGAAAGGGGTATCCTAACTTGTTAAAGAGGAGGGAAGGAGTAATTTGGTAGAACAAATTAAAATAATCCATCTTGCCCCTTTAAGAATATTACAGCTCTGCAGGTTTAAAACTTCACGTCCAAATGCTCAACACTTTTGAACAAGAGCCAAGAAACAAATGTTCCACAAGTAACTACACAGTGAGCAGAACATGGAGATAACTGAATACATAGAAACAAACTAGAATCAGGAATAAGTCATTCAGCCCTTCAAGCCTGGTCCACCATTCAACATGATTGTGGTTTTCGTTTTCAATTCATTCATGGGACATCAGCACAGGTGGCTAAGCCAGTACTTTTGCCTATCCCCAATTGCCTAGAGGGCTGTTAGGAGTCAACTACATGGCTGTAGGTCTGTAGACCGACATACAGACCAGACCAGGTAAGGACTGCGTATTTCCTTTCCAAAAGAACGTTAGTGATCTAGATGGGTTTTTCTGACAATCAACCACAGGTTCAAGGTCAAGTTTAGACTCTTGATTCCAGAGCTTTTTAATTTTAATGGAATTCAAATTTCACCATCTGTGGGATTCAAATGCAGGTCCCTAGAATAGGACCAACAGAACTAGGTCCTCAGTACCCTGTTTCTGCTTTCTCCCCACGTTTTGTCCTTTTAGTCTCAATAACTGTATATCAAACTACTTCTTGAACCCAACACGTTGGCCTTAACCGCTTTCTGTGGCAGAGAATTAGAAGAAATTTCTCATCTCAATCCTAAAAGGTCCACCCTGTATTTTAGACTGTAAACCCTGGTTCTGCACTCCTTAGTCATCAGGAATATCTTACCTATGCTTACCTAGTCTAATCCTGTTAGAACTTAATAGGTTAAGATCCCCTCATTCTCTAAACCCCATTGAAATAGTCCTAACCGATCCAGTCTCACTTCATGTCAGTCCTAACAAAGCTTGAAAATTGCCAACTCATGAAAGCACTGCAAATCTCAATAGTGACCGTTAACTGAATGAAAATATTTCCAGCAACACGCACATTTCAAAACAATTGGGGTCCCATGCAAAAGAAACTGCCATGTGGTCTCTTACCTGATTGTACATATAACGTAACATGAAGTCCAACAAAAACGATTTGCCTTTACGAAATGCTCCTGCCACAGAGACAACCACAACGTTCAAGTCCCGAACGTGTTCTTGCAATAGAATTCGCTCCAAGGATTCTTCATCGAGATCAAAATGATGATTATCTTCATGTGCCAACACTACCTGTATTGGTCTTGCCTCTTTCATGGGTACATCATCGGAATTCATTGCAGCCTCCTGGTTACCATATTCATCTATTGAAAACCAAAATAATATACAAGTTAGCCTATGCCAAAACAAAAATTACACGTGCAATGAGATGTGATCTACTTCACCTTGACGTAGACTTTTCCTTTCCCAGAAAGGAATGGTATCACAATCGAAACCCAACTGAAATCCATCGTACTCAGCTCGCACCATGAATCAAAAAAATTTTATCTTTAAAATATTCCATCTAACCCAAAACAGATAAACCTGTTCTACCCCTAAAAACCTTAGTCAGATGCAGCAATTAACGGTCAGCAGACTGGAATACAAGAGAATAAAGTGGTTCCTATCCAACCAGGGTTTAAACAAAAGTTATAGATGTAACTGTTCAGCTAATCAACTTTTGAAACGAATGAAAATAATGCAACTGTGCTGATCTACAAGCTTCAAAAAGGCACCTGTATGTGTCAGCAAATTTACATGCCAACCACAAGCTCAAAACCAAAAAAAGGTCCAAAGTCAATAACTTAAATCAGTACAAACCAGCATGTTGCTTATGAAATCACGCAATTTGTATTTCCTTCAGGATTACAACTTCCCTGCAAACAAAGTAGATACACCTTTATTCTAGAGAAATAAAGTCACAACTATTTTAGAAGAAACAGAATGAACACTAGACACTGAGCAACTTGATCTCAGTGGTAGAAGGTACCCAATAGAGAAAATATTGTATTCCATCCCCTACTCATTTTTAATGAAATCCAAAGTTTCAATAAATCTTTACTGTTTTGGTACTCAAAAGTGATACCTAGGTTGTTATAAACCTCTCACACTTGCACAATACTACAGTACTTGACTTTCCTGTTAGAAATACTTAAAATTTAGATCAATTTCTTCCAAACAATATCCACTCAAAGACTAAACATACACATTAAACAAGTTAACAATTTGCATAAATGCAAATCTCATTTTAAATGAATCAAGATAAACATTAGTTGTTGCATGGTTTTGTCTTTCTACAAGCCCAAAAATGCCAAAAGCACCAATTCTGATCTACTTCTAGAGAGTTATGTCAGAGCACCTTAGTGCAACACATGCAGCCTTCATTCTAACCAAAAAGGCATTTAGTATTTTGCCAAATGGATAGAAGGCCCATGATCAATCCAGAACATTTTTCACACCAAGAACACTCTGAACAGTATCAATCTTTTAGACATTGTTAAAATATTAACTTCTAATTGCTTCCAGTTTTGGCATGGGTTCAACAATATCCAACTGCAATAGGGCACTGTGTGTCCACTTATGCACACGGTGCTCAGTGACTAATCTTGAGTTTAGCAACAATCAGTAAAGTGTAGGATGGCAAGAATGGAACTTTAATGGGCAGAGGGGCATTTACATCCAAGTGTGTGAATAGAGAAAGATTTTTTTTACAACAATGAAGTCTAAGATAATAAGGACTCAAAGATTCTGCAGGTCAATCTCGGCTAATAGCGTGAGAAACATCCCGAGGATTTTGAACAGCCAACATTACTAACAAACGCGTCTGGCTGAACGGAGTAGAGAAAAGAAAGAAAGCAGTTTATATAGCTATTAATATGCTTAAGCATATGCAATCGTACATACAATGGATACAAGTATTGTACCAACATCACACTTAAGTTAAACACTTGGACTTGCACAATATACTTTATGAACTCAAGTTTCAACTCGACTGTTTGTAGCAGTCACTGGACCTCTAATCAGGCCCTAATGGTGATGTCTGGCTTTGAGCAAAATATTGGCACCAGCCTCAAGTACTACATGTGCAGATCTGCATTGGGATATTGATAAATATAAAGCATTAAGTCACTAACTAGTATTGAAGTTGAGAATGAGGATTACTCCAATATCCAACAGCAATTAGAAAGAAAGGGTGATTTATGTTTTATAATTGCAATTCAAGCAAATGTTAATCACAACCTGTGCTAGATTTCAGCACATATTAAAATCTCCCACAGCTATGTCAAACACAAAGTAGGAGTAAGCTCTACACTCAGTTCAACTATATATAATTCAATACAGGAATTTAAGCATAAAAAAGGAGCCTGCTTACAAAGAAGTTTTGCATTTATATTATGCTCAAAAGTACTGAAGAGCTGATGAGAATGGATTTTATTTGCTGTTTAACATGTCTGCCTAATCCTGGTGCTAAAATGAATTGACAATTTCAATCCTAGACGCATTGATTCCCATTAGTGACCAAAGGAAAGAAAGAGGCTGAGCAACCACAGGAGATGTGGATTTTTAGAATAATAGCAAGAATAGAAAATACTCAGCAGGCCAGGCTGCATCTAAAAACAGGAACAAAAATTCAGGCCAATGACCATTTCAGAACTGTTTTGATAGGTGCTGCTAGACTTGAGAATTTCCAATATCTGCAGTATTTCACTTTTGCATTCTTAAATTGTTGATTTTTGCAGTAAGCACAAATGAAAAATAGAAGAAGGTGGAAAGCAACAAACTGTTCAGCTCAGTTGTTTCTACAACATCAGTAATAAATACTTAAATATTTAACTGCAAAAAAAAAAAAAAAAAAAAAAAAAAAAAAAAAAAAAAGAGAATTCTAGTCCAAAACAGGAAATGCTGAAAATGATCAGGTCTCGCAGCACCTGCCAGAATGTCTCAGGTTGATTTGTTTTCTTCAGAACAGATATGTTTCAACTGAACATTTCAATGTGTTGAAACACAAACTCAACTTCAAGGGAGTTAATGAAAATCAAGACTCCAAATTCCATTCCGAAAGCCTAAAATCTAACGTCAATACTACGAAGACATTGCTAAGACTCTGCCCAAAAGCAGCATTTTGCCCATAATTTTAAAAACCCTTATCTGGTCAACCAATAAATGATCAAATCCTTCTCATTTACTCTAGCACCATGAAAGATGAACTGGAGAGCCAGAAAGCAGCAATTTTAGAATTCCAAGTTGTGTACAAAAATGTTACAGAAATAGAAGAATAGACAATTCAGAAATCCCAAGTCATCTGAATTGCAATGGAGTTAAAGGATCAATAAAGAACTTAAACGTATAATACAACTTTCCCAACATTGGAACATTTTATAGAGAGTCAAAAGACATTAAGTATTCACTGTTGTAGCACTGCAAATGTAGCAACCTATTCTACACACAGCAAGGTCCCACAAGTAATTGGATAGTAATGCCTAACTAAGGAATGTTGGCGGTATTAGCTATGACAGCAGGTGAGCTTCCCAGCTCCTTTTCAATGCTGCAGTACAGAATTTACATTCGGGGATACAAAGATTAAGGTCAAAGGTCAATCAATATTCAGAAACATGGATGTCTGTGGATCAAGTCCTTCAAATTACACACAAATCCTTACACTAGCAATTACATTCTGAATGGTTCAATCACCTGGAAAAACAATTTTTAAGTCTTCATTAGCACCTGACATTTCATCAAGTACATGACTGGTGACAAAAGGGAAACTGTAGTAAGTAACTGAATAATCACCAGCTTTGAAACATTAACTCTGCTTTCTCCCCACTGATACTGCCAGACATGTTGAGTTTCGCCAGCAATTTCTGGTTTTGGCTCACTAGATTGATCCTGGTTATGGAATATTGTCTTAAGGGGTTGACTAGGTTAGGTCTACACTCGGTTCAGAAGAATGAGGAGAAATTTATTCAAAAGAAAAAAAAAAGATGATTTCTACGGGGCATGACAGAGTAGATGTTGAGTTGTGTCTCCCCTTGATTGTCTTCTGGTCCTTGACTATCTCAGAAGAGGTTGCTGATTCAAGACAAATAAGGAGAATATTTTCCCCCCTCAGACAGTAGTGAATCTGTGGAATCCTTTACCATAAAGGGTAGGAGAGACTGGTTCGTTAAGAATATTCAAGAGCTTGAGATAGCCAGGCAGGGAATAAAGTTAGGGGGAAAATACGGGAATGCAGAGTTGAGGATCAACAGATCAAGCATGATTTTATTGAATGGCAGAGCAGACTCGACAAGCCAAATGTCCTACATTTTAATGGTTTATTTTGACTGAATTCATTTAAGGACTCTCCATAATTCACAGGAAAGAAAATTTGGGGAGAGTCAGTTAAGTAGAACTTAATTTGGTACAGGGAGTGTTAAGTGTGTACAAGAAAATTTTTATTTTTTATGTGGATGTACCTACTAGAGAAGGAGCAAAACTTGACCTACTCTTGGGAAATAAGGCAGGGCAGATGACCAAGGTGTCAGTGGGGTAGCACTTTGGGACCAGCAATCATAATTCTATTAGTTTTAAAATAATGATGGAAAAGGATAGACCAGTTCTAAAAGTTAAAGTTCTAAATTGGAGGAAGGCCAATTTTAACAGTTATTAGGCAGAACTTTCAAAAGCTAATCAGGGGCAAATATTCACAGATAAAGGGATAGCTGTAAAGTGGGAAGCCTTCAAAAATGAGGTCGAGAGTCCAGAGACAGTATGTTTCTGGAACGGTGAAGGTGAAAGGCTGGGTAGGTGTAGGGAACGCTGGGAGGTAGGTGGTGTTGGGGGCGGTGGTGTGGAAAGAAGAGAGACAGCCAGGATCGAATGAGTCCTTAGATGAGTACAAAGGCAGTAGAAGTATACTTAAGGGGGAAATCAGGACGGCAAATAAAGTGGACATGAGGTAGCTTTAGCAAACAGGGTTAAGGAGAATCCAAAGAAATTCTACAGATGCATTAAGGACAAAAAAAAAAGCAACTTGTTAGAGAACAGGGCCCCTTAAATGTCAGAAAGGACACATGTGTGGAACCACAGGAATTGGGGCAGATATTAAACGAGTATTTTGCAACAGTATTTACTGTGGAAAAGGATGTGGAAGCTAGAGAAATAGGGGAAATAAATAGCAACATCTTGAAAAATGTCCATATTATAGGAATTGGTGGTGCTGGATGTCTTTTAAACACAGTGGTGGATAAATTCCCTGGACCTGATCAGGAGTACCCTAGCACTCCATAGGAAGCTAGGGAAGTGATTGTTGGATCCCTTGCGGAGATATCTGTATCATCAATAA